AWTTTWAMSGKTKGGTCTGATGTCGGTCCYGCAATCGTTTTTAGAAGCGCACACCACATACTGTATTTTTACAGTTGTACGCGTCTCRTAGTCTCGSTTTTAACAGCTACGAGCGTCTAATAGACTTGTCAAGCACTTATCTTATATTTTCAACGTTTACTGGAATCGAGTATCGTTTCCAATTGATTTACAAGGCGTCTCGWAGTCTCGCTCYTCRGTTGSTTCTGCACGTCTCATGTATTCGCTTTTTAACCGYTATTTACGTACGTCTTTGAATCCCTTTTCAAATATCGTGTAATAAAAATCCACCCRAAGCATCGGTTTTTCAAATTATYAAATCATAATATGCCCACCCGAAATATCTTTCAAGGGCATTTATAAGATAGGCCTAAATGTATACCACGATTAAACTAATCCACATACCATTCAAATGGTTTATAACAAAGAWCCATATTTATCAAAGTGTCTTAGCTAGAATATAAACTCCTTTAGAACGCACGTCCGCCTTCTTCTGGGAAGTAGACATTTGCCGACAGTAGCACATTTGTGCGGGAGTAGAAGGGCCATCAAAAATCCAATGCTCTTGGAGGTCTTGAGTGAAGTTACAAGAAATATAGGGAAGAAAAAACAGAAAGTGTCCATATACCGTTTTARAGCCGCTTAAATCTAGATAGGGGGCCTCTACAGATAGCAATTAAATGTGTTACATGTAGCTCAACTTCATCAATGCGATTTCACCGCAATATTTGAAGCTTAATTCAGTTAGCGAGAAAACTGTGTTATAGTTATGTTTTCGTGAATGAATACATTCGAATGCTTTATAGACGTTTAGGCGCTATATATTTAGCGCGGTACGTTTGGCATATTCAAACGTGGCGTCGGCCACAAAGCAGCGTTTTGGTAGAGTTTTGTATAAATCTTCGGTGAAGGAAATGAACTCAGTAAAAACGCTTCTAGAAAACGAATTCTGTGGACGAGAAATAAGCTATCATCAAGGATATTTGACGATTTGATTCAGTGACTCACGGTGTATGCTGATCAATGTGAAAAACGCGTGTTGAGATATCGTATTACTACATTAATCTCTTCGCTCCATCTTAACTGTCAATTATCCTTTTTCAAAAAATATTAGTGGTGTCGAGAAAGTACTGTCAGATATTGGGAAAAGTGATTGTGGGGTTCTTAAGAAGTGCTTTTATAAAGCTCAGTATAGTGAGTGTATCCGTCGGCGAATAAGTCAAGGGAGGATAATACGATCTAAGCATAATTGGTTTGAGTGGCTGGGGGATTTAACTTTAATAGCTTTTAGTTTGTAATTATAGGCGAATTAATTGAGTATTAAAAATAAACTCTGACTGCCTWTTTTAMTTTGTTGATAGCCGTTCATCATTTAAAGGATCAAAATCATCCTGGATGCTTTGCGCGCCTTGTCATACCTTCGTCATACACGAAATTGTGTGGCTATTTTTTTTTTAGTTTGAATAAAATTGACTTAATAATATATAAAGGTGGGAACTAGCGGTGAACTAGTGTGAGCTGCGTCGGTGTTTCTAAAGAAACAGTTATGTAAAAAGATAAATTKAACACCGTAAAAAAGTATGTGGAATAACTTACTGACGTTTCGGATGTTAATCCTTCGTCTGAGTAAAGAGCTCTTTACTCCGACGAAGGATTAACATCCGAAACGTCAGTCTCTTTACTCCGACGAAGGATTAACATCCGAAACGTCAGTAAGTTATTCCACATACTTTTTTACGGTGTTAAATTTATCTTTTTACATAACTGTTTAATAATATATACACAGAAAACTCAAACAACAAAAGTTGGATGGCTTAAGGGCCGACCAATCAAAAACAAACAGTCGCAAAGCATCCAGGGTGATATTGGTCCTTCAAAGTGTGCAAATAAAGTTGTTGTATGGCAAAGTATGACATAGTTTAAATTTTTATGGGCTACCTGTGTTAGTACAACAGGGATCCCACAACAAAAAACTGCTATGTACGTCATTTACTTAAATTTTTTGTTTGCAATATAATAAATCTGCAACGATTCCTCAAAATAAAGAAAAGTTTAATGGATCAAAAGAAAATGCTAATTAGTATGGCGGACAGTCCGCCGGACCTCGAGACCCGATCAATGAGGTGGTTTTTACTTAAAACGTCAAAAAAAACATGTCTAATGAAAGTCAGCTTACCTTTCAACTTTTTCATGACGCAATAAGCCTAGAAATCTTTAAATAGGAGTTACCAGTCCGGAGAAAATCGACAATTCACGGTGCACAACAAACAATCGATGCAAAAATCCCGCCAAAACATCAAGCGTGTCAATACAAGTGATCAGCGGCAAAGTGAGACATGCGCAAAGCTTCAAGAGATATTCAAAATGGCGGAAAAACATTKAAAACTATGTTGTTGGTCTTATTTGACGATATAAATATCTTGGAATGACATAAAGTGATGTAAAACCTCCAAAGAAAAGTTCATACTGATGTATTCTCCAAAGAAATGTGGAATCAAGTTCGATCCGCCGACTCTRGTGATATTTTACGAGGAAGARTCTTCAGGTCAGTGCAAAACTTTAAGCTTAAGTCTTGTAAACCAAAGGTTGTTTGTTCACGAGAGATTCTGAGTACATCTTAGATTGCKGCAAAGTRTTGTATTGCTCGGAAAGCTCTTTTATTGAAGAACAGCAAAGTCACGGCYAAWCTAAATCTCAATGAAGCTGAAAAGTTCTGTAAAACTCTGCATTATGATGTTGTATTCATTCTTGGTTTTGTAGGTAAATTACATCGAAGATCCATTCCTATCAGAAAGTTTGACAAAGATTCAGAGTAAGGATAGTTATAAACATAAAATAATATCTATTTGTAATATTTAGTTCTAGTAATATTTACTCCTAGAAAGACAATGATTGAAGGATACATTATAAAGCAGTTATTAACAATTTATCATATCCTGCAATCATGTAAACGCATAGCTTTATTTCTACCTCTGTAAATTGCCTTGATAACCTTTAAAATCAAGATGCAATGTAGATATAACTTTTGTTGAGCTGGAGTGAASTGCGTCAGTGTTTCCAAAGAAACAACTGTGATAAAARGGAKACTTGYACACTATTAAAGATAGAAAGATTAYTTATATTTCAGATATTGGTTCTTTTGGATTCTGTTTTTGAAGGCCAGTCTTATTAACATTAATCCAGGCTTAACTCCTTTGATTTTGTAGGAGTCATTCTTGCATTAATGTTTATCAAACTTTGAACAACAGAGGACCAATGCCCAAAGCGTCTTTAAGTTTCCCTTCCTATGTTTATAATAATTTGTGTTTTCATCAAAGCTGTTGTGTTTATATTTCACATTTGAGGTGATGACTTGAACTACTTCAGTATTTCAGAAACTGCAAATAGTTTGAAGAAAAGTAGTCACCATTTAAAGTATTTGGAAAACATTTCTCATCAACAGGTACGCTATGAATACAAATCTAGGTGCATCTAATTGCAAGATTGTTGTCATACAAAACTTAAAACATTTTAATGTTTATATATAATGTTTTTATATCTTAAAAGATAACACTAGCTTTACCCTTTTTTTCTAGTAATATATTCCTTCAATTTTTCTATATATTACAACAATCTTGCCWTTAAGYGTGTACCTATAAATGAAAAMACWCTGCAATAAAGAGAGAGCAGAAMATTATTTTGTACTTTAGTAAAAAGGAATACAATCAAAAGGCAAGATCTTTTTACCAAAGACAGATGTTAAAAGACAGATTTCTTAATGAATGTTTTTGCAATAACATTATCTACAAAATAGTTAAACAATAGATAGATAAAGATTATAAACTAATACTCTAATATAGAATAATAGATTAATAGAAAAATGAATAGATTTTATTCATTGTCATTCCTGGAATCACTTTTTGTTTGCTTGCTCAGAAGTCCTCACATTGCAAAATAATCCTGCTGAAYGAGACTTTTTTCAAATGCAGTARCACAAACGTTCTTTGTCATACAATKAAKWKAGMWAKSARYRRGMARRWRARWKWGRWKG